ATTCAATACTTTTGTCTGAAGATTGTAACAACACTGTTACCGAAACGTCATACACTATTTATTTGGATTTGGTCTTATTACCTTGTGTGAAAATCAGTTTGATTATAGCTGCCTTCTAAATGAAGTAATCAAAATGTAATGTGGAAGTTAACAGGACAAGTAGTCTGGAGATCCTCTATTGACTGTGAGGATCTTCTTTATTATCTCCACTCAATCACACTAAGGTATCAAGCTTGTAAAGCTTGTTGATGGTGTCTGCCGGGGAAGAGTAGAGCTCATCAATGGATGAGTCAATAATGTGAGGATAGAGTTGAAGAATGAAGGGAGAGAAATAGTGGTTTGATAATCTAATAGAATGTTAGCTGGTAGAACTTCCATGTCAGCTGGCCTCTGTATGGGGGGAGTACTTGATGATGGAGGCCATGTCAAATACGTATTGCAGCATGCGAATTGTGTCAAGGAAATTTGTGAGAACAAATGTTTATTCCTTGCAGTCCACGTAGAAATACAGTAGAACTACCTCCCTGTAAAGGACACCTAATTGCAGAGCCAAAGTGTCTTTTAGAGAGAGATATCCTCTTACTGGATAGTTACTAGAGGTCTCCTCTAGTAAGAGTGTCATCTCATGGAGGTACTAATGTGTTGAAAAAGAGTACTAATTCTCATCAATAGATGGTGCTAATGATAATATCTTCCAACCTGAAGTATAACCCCCAGGACAAGTTGACCAACATTCAGTACACCCAACAATCCACTAAACATAACTCAAAAAACATTTTCATTTGACATCCCACAAGCAGTACTTTGGCTTAATTTTTTTTTTTAATTAAAAGTTTTTATAAGGTAACAAGACCACCTCCAAATGAAAAAAATTCTGCATAGTTTCAGTAACAGTGCTGTTACTGAAATGTCACACATTATTTATTCATTTGGATATAGGGTCTTGTTACTTTAGGTTGCTAATTTATAATGCACAAATTGCACCATTTTATTTAACACTGTGAGTAGTTTTGATCTATGAGCACAATTTAAAAATAAATGACATTACACTATATTAAGTCTCAATGAACCCCACTGGTACATACATATCCCAATTGTCCAGCTGTGTGACCTCAAATTTTAAACGATCCACTTAATTTGATCAGAATTGTTTTACTCATTTCATTACTTCCCTAGCAAACTTTTGTCTCAATTCCTGGGTATGTGGAATTCTATATTGGAAATATAAGGTAACAAAAGACCAAATAATGATAAAAGTGCTGAATATTTATTACACTATTTATCTAAAATTATATGTTATAAAAGTTATAATCTAAAATCCAAATATTTTCCCTTGCAGACTCTGTGGTGAATCCAATATGTATATAAGACTATTTTATTAAATCCAATATATGCCTTTTTATTATCTAATATAAGACTATATAAAAGTCTAAATAAAGGTGTTAGGGTGTGGGCATTGAATGAACTCTAGTTGTTGTACAAAATGTATAGCGGGAAGTGGATTCAGTCCTATTGGGTCATCATGTGGGGAAACAATGATGCCATTTTCAGTAAACCTTTTCAAGAGCATGAACTGGATGAAGCTTTGTGTCATCTTGACCCTACAAAGGCTCCTGGTCCAGACAACATCACTGTACCCATGTTGAAAAACCTCAGTTCCCATGCCAAACTAGAACTCTTAAGCATTTTCAATTACAGTTGGAGCTCATCTAACCTCCCTAAATAATGGAAACATGCCACAATTATCCCCATCCACAAACCAGGCAAGCCTGAGAACCACCCAACCAACTACAGACCTATCTCTCTGACCTCTATTCCCTGCAAAATCATGGAACACATAATTCACAATAGGTTAACTTTTTATCTTAACCTCAACAACCTACTAGACCCTCATTAACCCTTAAGTACTCGCGGCATTTTTTGTTACATAAGTACTCGCGCGGGGTGTATCACACCCCAAAATATAAACCTAAATCTAATATATATAATGTAAGCCAAATACAACGTATTTATATTTATATTATAGAGAAAAGAATGGATATTAATTAAAATGTAAATAAAATAATAAAATATTTAATTATTCCAGTGCTTGTACATGTTTTCTAAATCCTATAAGCATTTACAATTTTTATGCATATTCATTATTCACAAAAATAAATCTTATATTTTTTTCATTAATTTTCAAAGCATTCTGCACACATAATGAAGGAATGATTATTGCAGATATTTCTTTTGCAATTTTTGCAGGTAGTCTTTGTTTTCCTATCTTTAGATCGGTCACAAAGATGGCATCGCTTTTGCTTTTTTGAAAGTGGTTCTGATGGTCCTGGTACCTAAAAAAAACCATCATAAAATTTATCATGTTTATTTATATTGGTAAATAACATTTTTACTTACTGTTTGTTCATTTGCCACTCCAATTATCCTTCGAAGAGCAAGTTTTATATCTTTAGGTAGTGACACAATGCAAAGGCGTTCTTTGATATGTTCATCTATCAAACTCAGTCCGATCTTTTCCAAAAAGTGGCG